TGCCGTGAAATCCTTTGAACCCTTTTTGCCTAATGAATTTCTTCGGTTTTTCTACTCAAGCCAAAGTTTGGCATATTTCAAATGCATACCTACATACGTTTATTCATACATATGTACATATATGCGTACGAGAATGTGTAGAAAAATGAGCGCTGTCAGATCTATTGAAGACGAACATGTGCGAAAAGTGGTGAAAAAAGTAGAATTGTATTAAATAACTGGTCCGAAAACAACTAGTGTTTAACAAATTTTTTTATTACCTATTTATAATGGCATGAAAAGCACCGTTTTACTTAAGATGGTGGCTGCTCAGAAAGTATTTCGTTCTGAACTAGTCCTTTTAAAGCTAGTATGAAAAAATAATTACCGATGAGTGAGTAGTCTGAAAAAAACTACTCATAAAATGTTAATTGAATTTGTGCAATTCATGTTAAAAAAAATCTTACACATGATTTTTACCACCGAATTACAGTTAAATATAAATCACAGCTTTTATTAACTTGGTATTTGATCCGAGAGTACTCACTTATGGACTAGTCCCACGAAAGTTGGTTTAGGAAGTAATAAACTAATTAAAGGACGTTAACATAAAGAATAGTTACACATAAAGAATAATTTCAGCAATAGCTGTAAATTTCTTTTAATAGTATTTTCTTCACCCCCAATTTTTGCCAGAACCTACGCTCACCACTATATACAGCTTGAGAGCTAAACTCATCTACTGGGTTTTGGGTCTACATTTTTCACTAGTTAATTTGCACCATCGACACTAAAAGCAAGGTGGTGAAAGTCACTCGTCTCTATTCCTACATAAAATTCTCCTACCACTTGGCTTTTTGTTTTTGACATATAGGAAGTTGCCCAGGAAATTGGTTTGGTTAAACGTCAAGTGCATTGGACACATTGACAAGCACATTGTTATAAACATATATATATGTATACATACGTGTATATAGACAAGCCCTCAATTCATAGCCTTTCTTCGTTCTTCTACGCACTCGCCACTCCCTCACTCAAAATTGATGCCTCTGATTTACTTATTTGTATACAAAGCAAAAGTTTCCTATACATCCAAGGCTTCGCCGAATTAATCCACTGTAATTTTTATCCTGCGTGAGCCCTTCACAATGGTTGTGCGGTTTATTATGCATTGTGTTTGCATTTAGTGGTGGGTGTGATTTTTCCCCTTGAATTAGTTGCAAATGAGAGGTCATTAAAGGAATTAAGATTTTTGGGTGTGTGTTTTTACCTAAATAAAGTCATTAAATAAAGTCATCATGATTGAGTCGGGTTGGGTGAGTTGCGTTGATTTGTAATTGAAAACTCCATAGGAGTCTTAAATTAGGCGATGAAAAAATATGTTTTCCAAAATGTCGCTGATAAAGCTGAGAAAATTGCGAAAGTAGACTTATATCGCAAATGAGCGCGGTTTTCGCACTCCACCGCTTTTTTTCACTTAACATATAAACATATTTGAGTTATTAATGTTCCCAATCATTCGACCCGCGGTAGCGAGAGTATTCAAAATAGTAATTTACGGCTGACTAATCTTTCACATTTCAAACCTTGTCTATTGAGGTTTAAGGACTTATACCGATGAGAACATTCCGTGCTCGTCATCAACTAATGGATTTATTGAGAGAACACTTCGTTGAGTAGATAATTTCCGTATTGGGCTGGTCGAGTGGCTACCAAAATCGTGTGATAACACACCGTTAGAGTTTTTCCTGTGCCAAATGTAAAGTCTAAGCTTATGCGAATAGTCAGACCTTTGATTCAGGCCTTGGAACAAAACATCACGCTTGTCATTCGCCAATTACTAGTCGAAATGTTCGAACGAGTCATCGAAAATTGGACCATCTGATACGGATCAGCGGAAAAAATTTTAAAGAGAAAATCTTCAAAAAATTAAAGCCAAAGAACGTTGTTTCGAATGATAATAAACATTCCCCAATAAACTTGAATTCCCTGTTTTTTTTTTTTTTTTTTTTTTTTTTTTTTTTTTTTGAAAAAGTAGGGAACCTCTAAATGGATCACTCTTTATACATTTTAACAACTAATAGGGTCACATATGTATGTACATATACTCGTCCATCAAATGAATATTATTTATATAATCCTTTCATACCTACTCAAAGAAGTGACCCTAAAAGGCCATCACAACACTAATGAGCCACAGGACCAAAAATCAGGACACTTCTCTCTATGTAACATGTGCCCGTGTGTGCGTATAAACAAATACTAAAATATTTAATTAAAATATATACCTAAATATGTAAAGGAAAGTATGCAGTATTTGTTGAAAGGTAGTTTGTAAGTGGCACAAGTCAAGTGAATTTCATAATTAAACAAAATAAAAAACAACGATGCAACAGAAGCCAAATGACGCAATGAACATGCAACAAGAGCAAAGGGATTAAGAACCAGACATACTAAATAAAGATAAAATTGCGAGTGGTATATGAAGGTAGGGTTGAGTAGAAAGAAACAAAGAAATAAAGCAAGTCGAATAGTTGGCGAGGCAAAAAGGTAGTAGGCAATGCAGAGCGCAGTATTTGAACTATAATTAATAGTAAAAGAGGGCGATAATGAGGTTCATAATGAGCTTGGCAATAATGAGATTGTAAGAGAGTATAAAATGAGTCCAAATAAAAAAAAAACTCATTCAAACATTTTTGTATAGAAATTGTTGCTTTATAGAGTGGATGCCTTGAGCGTAGCAACAATTTCAATACTCCACAGCACACCACCACCACCACCACCACACACCTTATGGTCATAAAAATGAAAAGAAAAACTCACTAAACGCTTGTTGCTATCCGAGTACCAACTCACAAACAAATGAGCGTGTGGATGAGTGAAAGGCTGAGGGGTAAAAGGCAAAAGTGTAGTATTCGAAGAGCAAAAAGAAAGGAAATTAGTAAACGTAGTAGTAAATAATGGAAAACCGAAAAATTAAAAATGTCGAGAGGCCAACACCACCACCCTGTTGTAGCCATGTAGCCCGTGCGCTGTGGAGTGGAATGGAGCGCATTGGAGTGAAGTAGTTCATTGCAGCCTTGCCACTACGTTTGATGAGTGAAACATTGCAGTAGAGCAGTGAGGACGTGTGTGTGCGCACGATGAGGGTGCCAATGATGGTAAAAATAGTGAATGCGGGCAATATGACAGTCAAAACATGACGAATCATCTTTGTGCGTGTGTGTGTATGCTCTCTGCCGTAGGGTAAGCTGCGTAGTTTGGGCCTCAAGCTGCTCATCGCCGACAGTCAAATGTGGCTACTATTTTTATCGACGGCACTCTGTGGTCAGCTGTTTCATATGCAGGCATGCATATATGCAAGAGCTTGCATGTTCACACAGACACACACATGCACTACCCTTATTTGTGTGACTGTTATTGCCACTGACCGCTTCCGCTACGCTTCAGGAGTAGCAATTTGTTCGAGTTGTTGATATGGTTTTCTTTTTCTTTTTATTTTTTCAGTTTAGAGTTTTTATTTTCAGCAATTTTTTATTCACTCACTGCTATTGAGTGCCTTTCCCGGTGGCGCATACACATACTCACACATGCTTGCATGTCAAAACAAATGAATAGGCACATGGGCGGCCTGCGATGCAGAATTCTTTTTTACTGAATTTGTTCGAGTTTCGAGTGTATTTCATTTCATTTTCGCAGTTTTTTCATGCAGTCGCCCTATAAAGCACTACTACAACCTTTACAAATACAGAACTACTACTATTTTTTGCACTTTTTCTTAATTCTACTTCAATTTCTTTCTTTGTTTTTTTTCCACTACTGTTGCTGTTCCTGTTGCTGTCTACTTATTGACTCAGCCAGCAACTGTCAGTAGTCGCAAATGGCATGTGAAGCAAATTCAAACACACAAACACATTTACATACAAAAGTTTGCATTGAAAACTGTTGCCTACCGCTGTATGAATGTATGTACAAATATTTGTGCACCCCTGCAATGCTTTTTCCTCATAGTTGACTCACATATTGTACATACATATATATGTATGTATGTGTGTTGTGTGTATGAGTTGTCTTCTACTTGCTCTTGCTGTTGACTCTGAATGTTGAATGAGTTCTCTCAATTTGAATATGAGGTACGGTACGGTACGGTACCAATGAACGCTGCACCGTTGCTGACCCCGAGTCGCTCGAGTGATTTTTTCATACTCTCTTTTTGTGTGTGCTTTCCTTTTTTTTTTTTTTTTTTTTTTGAGTACTATCCGGAGTAGAGAACTTAATTATCGACATCGACCAGCGCTGTAGTGCCGTGAATATCATCATCACTCAAAGCAACGTCGCTTGCTCACTACATACACAGCTACTCGAACATACATAGCTACCACCATCACCAATACTACCAACAGTCATCGTAGCCGGTGACTTGACAGCGGCATCAACATCAACAATACTTACAACAAAGTCTCTGCCCGTCTCATTGAATCATTGCTGGCGTGCACGTTGCGGTGATCGCTCGATGGAAATTTCAGTGACGCGAATTTAGTGGAGATTGGAAATTTTTTACATATAATGCACGGAAAACATAAATAGAGCGAAGATTTTAGTGGGTAATAAAACGTAAACAAGAGAGTTTTCGAAAATAAAATGTATGTGCGTGTGTCAATATTAAAAATTATCGGTGCGATAGTGAAATTCAAAAAAGAAATAAATAAATAAACAAAAATTAAAAATTTTAAATAATAATAATCATACTAATAATAATAACTAGTGGATTTTAAAGTGTAGCAGTGCCCAAAAAAATCGCTAAAATAATTAATTAAGAAACGAAAATTGGACTGCAAAGTAAAGATTAAAAAGAATTATTGAAAAAAACATAAAAAAAGAAAGTATTTAATATTAATAAAAAAAATAAATCGTTAAAATAGAAAAAAAAATTCAGTATAAAAATTTTATAGTCAAAAATTAAATAATAAATATTAAAAAAGTTAAAGATTTTTATTCTTAAAAATTCAAAAAAAAAAATACATTTATAATAAAAAATTTAAAGTTAACAATTAAAAAAAAAAATATAATCATGCGCAATATGGGTCGCCTGTTTCAATATAATCGCTTTGGCGGCAATGAAGAAAATGCTGAGGATAATAAAAAGGATATACCATCACAAGGAGGCGCCAAAAATAGAGAGGTACAGAAAAATTATTTTGAATCATCAAGCAATATTACTTTTTAGGCATTCATTGTAATCAAAAATTTATGAGAATAAAAGTTTTCAAAAAGGTATTGTAATTAAAACCCTGCTATTGAGCCACAGCACTAGCTTTGATATACCGTCTACATAGAATAGGACTATTAGCAAAGAGGAAGTTTTTTTCTGAGATATAGACCAAGACACTTTAAGTTGTTCTGTCTAAAAGAAAAATATTTGTAGAGTAATAGGATATTTTACTGATCTGAGTTATGCTAATCACATGATAATATATAGGGTTAAGCCCAAAAAGTTTTGCACAATCTTGCCGAGAAATTCTGTAGAATACTAAGAAAAACTTTATCACAAGGATAAACCGAAAAGGAGAAGTATAAAAAATTCATTTAGAAAAAAAATTTTATAGATCTATGCGAGACACTCTTATTCTACTCTACACTAGACTGTCTGTATAAAATACTCTTCAAATCACACTTTAGTGATCAATCAAATGAACTTGCCGTATAATTTTTTGTAATAAAACTTCGCCATGTTTTTCTTCGCTTGCCTTTCAACGTATATTTAAACTTCTACAAACGAGAAATTCGCTTTTCCCAACCGCTTATCAGCCAGTCAAATTGTAAATATTTACCATTCGATTATGCTACTGTCTTGATAATTTTTTATTGCTACTTCACAATGGAAATCGAAACAAAGCCGCAAAAACATACCTACATATGCTTGGTATGGTGACAGACATAAATATTTGTTCTAAATATAATTTAAACCGTTGTATGCTTAACGATAATAATTGATTACCCACTTGGTTTCGAGTACTACGCACATACATACTTATATTGTATTGATTTGAGTAAATGTCCTACTATGTATATATTTATATATTATATATACTTAACTGCCTTTAATCAGAACTTCACATACACTTTGCTTGTATGTGTCTCTGTGTTTGCCTAGATAAGGCTACTGTTTATACTTTAACTCACAGCTGTAAAATAATCAGGCTTCTTATCAGCTGGCAGGCAGCCAAGCTGTAACCGACTGTTCTTTGCTTTGTCACCGACGCCTTTGGAGTATGGTATGTGTCCGTGTGTGTGTCATAAGCGATCATAAAACTTTATTTTGATTTAATACGGAAATAAATATAAATATTAGACAGTGATTTATCGTCATTTCGAGTGCTGTAATTTTGTTTATTACCGAAAAGCAATTATTCCTACTGAATGTTAGTATATTTATTTGAGCAAAGGAGGTAATCAATAAAAATAAATTTAAATAAATTTTAATAGATTAATGACTACAATAAACATTGAAAAGCAAATTTAATAGGAAATTATTTTGTGTACGTATCTACATATTACTCGAATGTAGATGTCTCAGTATTTTCTTGGAAAAAAAATTATTTATTTTTTCAAACAGATCTTACCACAGAGACTTCCTGAGGATGTAGAGGATAGCATAATAATAGAATTTTGAAAGGGAATAGTAGGATAACAACATGGATTTGCACCACTCGTCCTAACGATCTTATAATAGAACATTTTCATTGTTTAAGTTCGCACCTCAGAAACATCGAAAACAGCTCAAGATATGAATGATCATAAGGGCGCTTTTTAGACGTGTGACTCTCAATTAAGCAATAACTTTTCGGGTTTTCTTTTTTCCAATATTCGGTCGACATAATCGCCCAGCAGAGACGGTTATTGGAGCAACCAAGAACCGGTATCGCATCACCATTACTATAGGGTATAATGCGCATACTCAGACACGCCTTACAATGTGCACCGAAAACGTTTTGTTGTTGAATGAGTCCATCTACAATACAACAATTGAAGCTGTGCCTATTCACTTTATGGAGGGAATATGGTTCGCAGGCTTACAAGATCCAGCTCATGCAAGAATTTAAGCCGAGCGACCATCGAACGTCGCATGTTAAACGAATGGGCCCAAAACGAAATTGTCACCGAAACCGATTTCAAAAGAAAAATTTATTTAATAAAATTTTATTAACATAAATTTGTCATATTTAAAGTGATATTAACTGTTCGGTGTACCCCATGGGCAGCTGGAACCATTGGTTCGTAGTTCTTCAAAAATTAAGCCGACTATGATATTACAGTCAATTGGGAAGGCTATAGAGCCATGATTAAAGACATCTTCTTGTTTGAATTGAAGGATGTTGATGTGGACCACATTTGTTTCCGAGAGGACGGCGCTACATGCCATTCAACCAACCGAACACTTTATTTAAGCGCACATTCGTACGATGTAAAACCGCTGGACTATTACTCGTGGAGTTAAGTGAAGGCGCTTGTCTATGCAGAGAAACCCAAGACGATTGATGCCTTGGTAGAGAATACTCGGCGCGTTACTACTGACATGCGCCACCCATTTCTGCAAAAAAGTGGTCGAAAATTTGGGCTGTAATCTTCCATATTTCTCAGGTTTCATGACTCTCAAATGAAAAATAATTTAGTCAATTAAAAACAGGAACGTTAAAGACCGGACCACAAGAAACTGCCACTAGACAAGCTTTGCTCTATATCCCACATATGTTTTAACGGTCAATTCGCTTGATTTAATAAAATATTATGGCTTCTTTAGCAAGATCTCTATCCCAACAGTATTTCGATACTGGTAATGTACGTCGAAAAGACGAAATATCTCCTGCCAACATGCAAACATCAATGCACTAGCGTCAGATCCCTATTGACAGTCACTTTGTATTTCCCTGTGAAGGAAATAACGTAAATGGGACAATGGCAATGCGGACTTAATTTGCTTTGGCCTGTCTTGTAATTTTAAAATAAAAAATATAATTGTAACGAATTTTTTCTACAATTTTTTTTGGCAAAAAATTGTACCCGACTCTGCTTAAGACTTTGATAAATTTAAATTATATGTCGAAAAAAGATCTTATAAATCGTAACAGCTGGTTTAAGAACACAAATTATTCCACCAAATTCACTAGATCATGTGTGCCTTTTATCATTCATTTAAAGCTGAAACCTCTAATCGCAACTGACGACTCATTCTTAGGTCATAATTTCTATCCCTTTCAAAAATCCATTACATGACCCCCAAAGTCGATTTGACAACAGTTGGCATTTGACATATTTATTACTCAAAACACATACATAGATATGAAATAAAATAAAATGTTTAAAAAAAAACACTTGTTCGGATATAAAATAAGGCAAACTGCGTTGTATTTCAATTAAAGCAAGAAGATAAGAGGCCTTGGCTCAAGAGTCAATAACACTAAAAGAAATAAGAACAAGATTAGAGAAAATTTACTTTGATAGCGCACCGCCCCGAATTTTGAGTTAGAGAACAAGTGTTGAAAACACATTGCTAGAACGAACTTGGAGTAAACAACGACGAGTCACTTGAAAAAGCATGAAGAAAAAATTAAAAGGTTTGAGAGAAGAGGCTGAGCGTGAATTTTTTGATAAGAGTTAACTATCAGCCGAGCCAATTGAATGGGTAAACAAAGATTGTTTCAAGCGACATATGTTTGTATATACAAAATGTCATGAACTAGTTGACAGGCCAACGGAGCGCCAGCCAGCGGATAAGCGTCTCTACTTGCGTTTATGTGCGCATGTGGGTGTCTCTTGTGGCATTTATGAGATGTGCACTGTATTGTTTTAACAATTAGCAAAAAGAAAAAAAAAAAAAATATGCCTTTGGTTGTATGTGTGCATTTACTTGAGATTACAATCAAAACCCAATTAAGAGAAGATAAACACTCAAAAACGAATAGCAGACAGTCCAAGCCGTTAAACGAAGAGTAAGCCGATATGTCCAGACGCCACAAACGGGAAGTGCATCGAAAAGGATAGACAAAAAGATTGCTGAGACACACACGAAGTTGTATGCAGCAAAGTCAACAACCAAAGAATACTCTTCACAAGCAAAGTTTATAAAACTGAGAGTTGTTTAAATTAGGATGAGCACTTGAAGGGCAACAGACAATTTTCATTCTAGTCTAACTAATGATAATTGAAATTATGACTATACCAAGAAAATAGCACTTCAATGATATTTCAAATTAAATAGAGAAGAAAAGAATTTGAAAAAATCCTCAACGCCTTCAAGGCAGCGTCTTTAACTATTCTCTTGTCTGAGGCGTTCCCCCATAAATTTATTGTTGTTGTTTATGGCGGCAAGCCTAATTGAAATTAATAAATATGCAACAGACGAACACAATTTTCCATCTTGTAATTATAATTTTTTATATGCTGTTTGCTTTTGTTTTTGCTTTTAGTTTTGATTGCACTTAAGCAGCCGCTAATAAATAGTACAAGACGTAGAACTCTGGGCAATTAAAGTTTGAATTCTTTTCATACAAAAATAGCTCAAAGCCAATATGAAGTGTTGCGTTTTCTTTGAGGGCATTGAAAAGGAGCAGGATGAGGTTGCAAGTAAAGTGGCGGTAAAGAGTAATTAAATAGAGAAAGAATATACAATAACCCAAAGAAATAAAATTATGTTAAAATTAAAAAAGGAGCTAAAAAATTATAATAAAATGAAATAAAAAATATAATTATTAAATAAAGGAAAGAAATAATTAATTACAATAATAAAAAAAAATATTAAACAAAATACAAATAGAAAATTAAAGTAAAATAATAAAACAAATAAGATTAAATAAAAATAAATAAAATAAATTAAAATGAAACAAAATAAAAAAATATTAAGTAAAATACAATTAAATAAAAAAATATTAATAAATTACATTAAGTAAAGTAAAGAAACAATTAATAACAATAATAAAAAAATTAAACTAAACAAAATAAAATAAAAAAGCAAAAAATGGAATAAAATAAAATAAAACCAAATAAAATATAAAGGAAAAAAACAATTAAATAAAAAGATAAAAATAAATAATTATATTAAGTAACATAAAAAATAATTAATAATAAAAATAAATAAAATTAAATAAAATATAAAGAAAAATACAAATAAATAAAAAATAAATA